CCTATTGCTAGTGAAAACTATTAAGGGGTGTGGGTGTTGTATACCAGAGATATATTTTGATCTGAGATGGTGAAGGAAGACTACTAAAGCGGGGAATACTTGAATTCCTAGAATGTGTTAGTGTTACCTTTTAAGTTGCCTTCAGGACAGGCTTATATTAAGGAAAAATCCAAAAGTGTAGTGCTCCATGGCTTGACCACCCTAGAGAGTCCTCCATACTTGATACTGGGCTTTGTGCTCATCTTACCTAAGATGTTTACTTAAGAGAAATTAGTATAGATAAACGGGATATTCAAGGCTATTGATACAATAACCATGGTAGGGGGTGGATATGTGACTTTGGTAAGTATTTCATGATCTCAGATGAGCTTTTGGTTCTTGAAATTTCTCAGAATAATGACAAGTTTTCGTATTTGTTGAGCCAGGGACCGAAAAACAATAGTTACTAATAAGGACTGTGCAAGGAGTTTGGACACCAGGGAAGTAACAAACACTTTTGCAACAAACTTTTTTCCTAGCATACACCAGAGAACTGAACTCATTTGCCAGGAGTCTTGAAAATGAGTCTTGCTGATTGTTTTGCTTAATTTTTAATTAATTGCTACATATTAAGTTACGGACTTGTATATTCCAGGGATCTGGATCTGAAGAAGCCAATTTATCAGAGGACTGCAGCCTATGGCCACTTTGGTAGGGACAGCTTCCCATGGGAAGTGCCCAGAAAGCTTAAATATTAAAAGTGTTAGCCTTTTTTCCCCAGACTTGTTGGCGTAGGCTACAGAGAAGCCTTCAAGCTCTGAGGGAAAGGGCCCTTCTTCCTAAAATTTCCTGTCCTCTTTCAGCTCCTGAGCAGTTGCAGTCACTCTAGTCAATGACATGAATTTTAGCTTGTGTGGGGGACTGACTGTAAGTTCGCTTGCTATTCTGTCCCTAGGTTTTTTTTTGTTCACCATTATAATGAATTTAGTGAGCATAGGTGATCCATGTAACTGCCTAGAAACAAACCAACAGCACTGTAGTAAATAATGCTTTGAAATTGAACCTTTGTGCCCTATCATCCAACCCCCTAAAATTCTAATTGCATTGACTTTCTCACCAAATGCTGAAAATGTCCTTGTAATGTGCACGTAAAGTACTAGTAGTACCATTATTATAGCTTCTGTCTGGCAATGCCACAGCCCTGTCAGCATGAATTTGTAATGTCTCCAACTCTATTATGGATGTGAAGCTTTTCCTTATCCTCCCTATAACATGATCCATTTCTAATTATGTAGCTTTTTGTCAGGGAGTGTTCCCTATTCAATCATTCTTGCATGTAACGCAAGTTCCAGATGGAGCTCTAGCCTGACGGGAAAAAAAGGCAGTTACCATTAAACCATCTCCCTGGTGCTTATGCTCTTAATTGCCATCTCTTAAACAGCACCAAATCAAATCTTTCTACTTACTCGGCTGTCTTGGAGGACGTACGTAATAAGGTTTTATTTAGTAAACCAATCCTATGCATGGTTTCAGCACTAGCCAAACCACCAACTCCTAGCTCTAGAAAAACAGGCACTTGGCACCCTTGTGATATACAGAGAAGTCATAGGGCAGTACCTGAGGGTCTGTAGGTTGCACACTTTGGTACCAGATAACTTTTTTTTTTTTCTTTCTAAGAAAGACTAAGTACTCCACACTGCACAATAATTCCTCCCAAGGTTTTAACTTTGTTTTGTTTTCAAAACCAGGTCCAATGAGCTTTCTGAACAGCTGGTGTAGCTACAGAGAAACCAGCTTCCTTCAGACAGCAGTGCTTTTGGCGGGGAGGAGGAAAATCCCTTCATACTTGAACATTTTCTAATTGCTTATTTATTGTATTCTGAGGTATGGCGTAAGTACAGAGAAGCCATCGCCTCAGATGGCAGCTTTTAAAAGATTTTTTTTTTTTCCTCAACACCATGATTCCTTTAATATGTTTCCAGCATTCCCAGGTAGGCCAAGGTGTCCTACAGAAAAACCTTGGGTTAGACCTACAGGGGTTCTGGCTGGTGTTAACAAGGGAGGGCAGAGCTGGTGCAGCTGGCCATGGAGAAAGCTGACTTGGCTGGTGTGGTACAGAGAAGCCAGCTTGTTTACATGCTTATTCCATGACTGCTTGCCCTAAGCAGAAAGTGCCTTTCAGGATCTATTTTTGGAGGTTTATTACGTATGTCTGGTTCTCAATTCCAACAGTTTAATGAAGATCTAAATAAAATGCTAGGTTCTACCTTAACTGTGTCCATCATTTCTTAAAAGTGTTTGATATGAATGTGATCTGAGAAAATACTCTGACCTTAATTAATTGTAATTCCACCCATTGTTCAAGGCAATCATCTCAATCCTGACTGCAGGCCTTCAATATGTTTATAAATTCATCTATCCCAGCACTAAGGAAGTTCAAGGTTTGGTTTTTTAAGCACTGCCTTTTTTGGCTAAGGAAAGTCAAAATTTCATGTGTGTCTATTACAGCAGCCGTTGCTACACTGCCAGTGTTTTGCATTATCTAAGATGGAGGGCATAAAACAAACTAAAACAGGCTCCCTTACATAACTCCCATAAACGCAAAAAGCCTCTTCAGATTCCTATCAGCCTAAAAAGGTACTAACAGGTCTTTAAAAGAGAAGTGGCCTACTGCAAACTTGGAAAGTGAGGGGGATACCTGTATTAAGGAAGTGGTAATGTTCAGTCTTGAAAATCTATAAACCCATTTTCAAATAGGTGTTGGAGGTTGCAAAGTTGAAAAGTTTCTAAACAGTAAACAGCTTCCAAGTTAGGATAATAAATGAACTACACTTTATTTAAAAACAGTGAAGGTACAAATTTCCAATGGTTACTATAAATTTGTGGCAGTTTATAAAAGGAACTTATTCCACATATCTTTGAACTATTTTTGTCTAGGAGCTGAAGTATAGATGGGCATGCGCCAGCTGGCACATGTTTACACAGCACATGTGGGAAGTCAAGTAGTGGTTCAATTTTTACTTCGACCTGCTGCAAATGTGAGACTCAAGGAATGCTTACACTTGCTTACCTGGAGGTTTAAATTTTTAGAAATGGGTGTTTCTATAATTTGCTCAGAAAAGAGCTTCAACTTTCACTACAGGGAAAAGCTCCAGAAGGTTTAGAACGCTTAGATAATGCACTGCAGTCTGAAGACATAGATATGTTGGCCAAGTAAAGGGGATCTGAAGAGTGGACCCTGCAGGATGGAGGGGCAGCAAATAACTGCCTTCCAGACAGCTAGGAAGATGTGTAAGGAGGTGCTTTTCCCTGGGGGGTGGGAGGGAAGGATTTTACAGGCGGGAAGGCAAAGGGGTATGAGTCTAGGGAGAAGAGTGGAGCAAAGGCATGGAAAGGGTAGAAGAGAATGTCCAAAAGTTCATTTGCCTTTCTGCAAAGTTTTAAAGTGACATTAATTGGGGGGGGGGGGGGGGGGGGGCAGTCCAAATGCTGGCCATAGAAGACTAAAATGCCTCTGGCTAAATGGACATTGATAACACTCCCCAAAACGGCCAGATTTTAGACTGGATTCCTCCTGAAATCTGAATAACCCAGATTTATTACATTGGACAATGTATACCAGTGTTAGGATGACCTCCCTTTCCCTCTATCCCATCCTAGCACTTCCACTGGGAAAACAAGTCAGGGAATAGCAGCACCCTTGTGGGTGTCCCCTCCCAAAGGAGAAAGCTGCTATCCGCAAAGGGGAGAGGTTGGTGGATCCGGGAACAGAAGATAGAACTTACTGGCAAAGGACATAGTGCCAAGGTACATTGCGTCAGAGTTGTGCAGTTTCCCCCACACCATTCTTGTTCAATATCTGTGGTGCCCTGGCTGGTGTTGCTCAGTGGCTAGTGCGTTGGCCTGCACACACCAAATGGTCATGGCTTTGGTTCCCAGGCTCGCACCCTCCTTGCACTCTCTAGACTGGTCACCAACTGGTAGGTCGGAAAGGTTGGTGACTGCTGCTCAAAACATCAATTCTAGGGAGGCAACCAATCCGTTAATGGCCCTGTGGCACAGCCATTGCATACAATGCCTTGTATGAAGCAAAGGGACTGACTCACTGCCAGGCCCCACGTGGCCAAACCTGTACAACTGCATGGTAGCCCTGCTCTTATCTCCCTGTAACATGAAATTAATAGATTTAAATAAGAGGTAGAACTGACAGGACTTGAAATTATAAGAAATGTGAGGAAAAGACTTGAGACTGATGACTTAGAAGGTGAAAAAAATCTAGTTGCCATTTACTAATAAAGGAGGAGCAGGTCTTGAGTTGGAAATGAAGCTAAGTTCTATTCAGGATAGGGTTTGAAAGCTCTGGGCTATCCAGTTAGAGACCTACATACAGGTCTAGGGCACAGGGAAGAAATCTAAGCATAGCCGAAACCAGTTTGGCTCAGTGGATAGGGTGTCTGCCTGCAGACTGAAGGGTCCCAGGTTCAATTCCAGTCAAGGACATGTACCTTGGTTGCGGGCACATGCCCAATAGGGGTGTGCAGGAGGCAGCTGATCGATGTTTCTCTCTTATCGATGTTTCAAACTCTCGATCCCTTTTCCTTCCTCTCTGTAAAAAAATCAATAAAATATATATTTTTAAAAAAAGAAATCTAAGCATAGCATCACTGGAAACCATAGACTAGTGTGTTCAGTAAAAAAGTGCCTAGGAAAGAACCCTGAGCCCACTGTCCAAGGGGGTTAGGTGGGGTGGGGCACAGGAAGATTGATAACAGATGCAATCTTTTACCAAAGTACTGGGACTGCCATTCTGTTACCAGACCATGAGCTCTTTTTTTAAAAACTGCATTCTCACTTCCTAGCCTAGCGCCAGGCCTTTGAACATTAATGGACCTGAGGAGTTTCCTTGTATATCCAAACTTAATTCCCTTACCCCTCACCAAGTTTGATTAATACTTTGCCTTCTCATTAAGTGCTAGAATAATGCTAAATGTTAAGCTTGTTTTTAGAAAAATACTAATACCAATCATCTAAATTTCCTTATATTTTAACTTTCTGTTATCCTCTCATAACTTCTAGTGAAAAACTTACAGGAAAAATAGATATGAGAAACTATTAAGAAGGAACCAGAATTATAGCGAAGAGAAAATTTATGCATTCAGAACCTGATCACCATCCTAAATCATCATACCTATAATTAAAACAAGTTTTAAGTTACATTATTTCAGAATGATTGTGATTCTCAAAATTACAAGAGACAGGGTGAAGGACCTTAAGTCAGTCATGAGGTTCAAACCATCAATCCATCCCTTACTAGGTTTATGTCTTTGAGCAAATTATAGTACCTCTCAATGTCAGTTTCTCCAATTGTAAAATAAGACTAATGACCATTAAGGACTAAATGTAACGTAGGCACTGTGTAAAGCACTGTGCACATGGCAAGCACTTGATGATACTTACCGTAGCTACTATTTTCATCATGGTACATAAAATCTCTTTCCCCAAGGAGCCAGTCACTTTACACCTGACTGTCCCCTTTATAGTAGAAGGACCTTTTCACGTTGCTTTTAACCCCCTCCTGGCCTCTAACCCTTGGATTTATAAAGTTTATCCTTGCTTTACTTTGTTGGCTCCTTCCTCTAAGATAACATCTCTGAATTTAAAAGAGCTATAGACAAGGAAGAAAAATATAAATATCTGTAAAAGTTTTTTCACATCTCCACTGCACAGGTAATGGTCCTGTGACTGGCTGTACCCCCACCTCAGAACTCTGAGTGGATATGCTCAGAATTTGGTTCAGGAGGATTAGAATTTGAAGAATCTGTATTTGAAGGATTCAACTCTCCAAGTGGCTCAAAGGGTCGCAAGTTTGCATAAGTCACCTCTTGGGCCAGTTGCTCCAGGGAAGGGCGACCTAATGCCAGATTTCGAAGTGAGATACAAGTCATCAGGAAGCTGAAAAAGAGGAAAAAGGCCACCCAATCCAAACTCCTGTTTCAACATGGGAATTCCTACCAAAGCCCTTATGGGACACCTGGTCCTACCTTCTCTCACAGACACAAATGAGAACTGTCTCCCAGGGGCCCCCTTATCCCAGGTGGAGGCACCCCACTCCTTATACAGTCTGGTAGGATTCCAGGGTGGGGCAGGAATAACCCATGGGGAGGCTGGAGGCAAACGGGCAGAGCAAGACAGCAGGCTGTCAGACACACATCATTTACACCTTCATTAAGTCCTTTCCTGGGACAGAGTCCCTACTGTTACTCTCACCAGAGAAGTTACCAAACCTGCAAATATCTGATGGCAACAAGTATTGTGGGTAAAACTTACCTGCGGCGAAAAATATAGAGCTTTCGCATCAAGAATCGGAAGAATCGCTCATGGAAAGGGGAGTTTCGCCGGCGTTCGATCTCCTGGAGCCTTTGCTGGCGTTTAAGAAAGGTCTGAACCAGAGGTGTTGGCTCAGGACCTCCTTTTACTTCCCCTTCTAGCAGAGGTTGCAGCTCGGGGGGTAGAGGTCCTGTTTCTGCTCAAAATCAGCAAAAAAAGAGGAATCACTGAGAGAGAGAGAGGGCATTCTCTCTCCTACATCTCCCCTTTCACCAGCTAGAGTAGGGGTGTCGAACTCAATCAGAGAAGGGGCCAAAATCTAAAATCCAGCCTAAATCGCGGGCCGAATGGTTTACTGAACAGTCATAAACTGTCATTGTGATGGAAACGCAGCGGAGTGCAGTGATGACAGCGCGGTGCGGGCCACATTGCAAGGCCTGGCGGGACGAATTTGGCCCACGGGCCTTGTGTTTGACACATGTGAGCTAGAGGCTTCAAGTTCCATTTTGGATGGCTACATCCTCATTTACAACCCTAACTTCTTGTTCTCGGGGGTTACCTCAGCCTGAATCTTTATTTACTCACCACTTCCATTCTCCACCTTCTCTTTCAGTTCTTGTAGATATGCCAGTTCTTGCTCCAGTGCAACTTCCGTCGTGTTGACATAGACGTACATGTAGCAGGAAGGACTGGGTGACACTGTGTACACCTTATGGTACTCGCCAACAGGCAACTGAGCAGGGGATAGAAATGAATATATTTCACTCTTTAAACTTTTCCTAATCGGCCTATGGGTTCCTAATACCACCCACTCCCCACCCACTGGGCATCTTTTTTCTTACTGTGTTCTGGAGTCCAAAGGAACGGACCTCCAGAATCTTAGATGAAGCAATTCACAGTCCCAGGGATCTTTACTTTTTTGAGCCCCCGCACAATGTTACTGCTGTGGTGAAACATTGAGTCTATAATAACTCCACTCATCTAAATTCCAGCAAGATACCTGCATTTTTTCTCCCTCCTGAAGAGTGTAGTTCTTCTGTTCTGCCACCAGCTCCACAATCACCTCCCCCTGCAGCAGCTGGATGCTAGTGTTGCCCAGGTCTTCATTCACAAAATTCTCTAGGTGCAGCCCTGACAGGGACAACCAAGTTCCCAAAAGCCCATCGTGAGTGAACTCACTTCCAGCCAGAACAGGCACTACCACCCCTCAGACTTCAAAAACATTCCTCCCACCATGAGGACCCCTCCCCTCTCCACCACATGCAAGGAACCTGACCAAGGAAGCAAGGAGGAGGGACAGCAAAGCCTCTGAGCTTTCTTCCATACCAGGGAAATCGGCAATGAAGACCACCATAGTATAGTTGTCCAAGCTGCTCTTGATCTCCTGTAACTTGGCCCTCCAGGGAGACAGGTCCATCAGCAGTGGCTGCAGCCAGGGGGTGGGCTGGAAGGGGGACCAGGCAGCCTGCACGATGTCCACATGAGGGTCAAAAAGCCTTAGGAAAGAAAACCATGTTTTAAAAAGGCCATAGCCACCTACCCATTAAAATGTCCAGTTCTGTTTCTCTCATCACCATTCCCAAGAGAGAGGGAACAGGGTTTCCAGAAAGAAAACGTGGCCTGTGTGAGCACGTTATGACCAGTCTGAGGCACAGAGGGGCAAGAGATTCTGCAGCACTGGGAAGAATGAGGATTAGTGGCCATCTGAGAATGGTGTTAAGTTTCTAGCAGAACAAGTCATATTACCTTTTCTTCTGGGTGATGGGGCCCCCTGCTGGAAGCAATCAGCTATGCCCACAACCAGTTCTACAGGGACATGCACCAGAGGACAGACAGCCTTTCAAGCAAGACAGCACTGGGGAGCGTGGCCTTATCATCTTGGCAAAAGGAGCTGAATTTCATTTTTCCCCCTTCCCTGCTCCCCTTGCCCACCTCTGCTGGAAGCGTTCATTGATGGATACCCAGATATCAAAGTAGATCTGGGGCTCAGTAACATTGTACTTGGGAAGCAGGCGGCTCAGGCAAGTGGCATATTGCTTCAGCATGTCTGCATGATCCTTCCATCGCCGGCTCTGTGTGAATACCTGTCCCAAACCCCCATATTAGTCCCACCTCATCGTATTGCCTCCTGGATGAGTCATGCACTGCCAATGGGACAAAGAGATCTGGTGGTTTGACCAGGAAAAAAAACACCTTGTTTTTGGGGAAGAATTTTTCCTTGCTGGGCTAGTGGTTTACTTACCTTTCTTAAATCTGATCTCAGTTTAAGGAGGTGACTGACACTGCCCTATTTCAACCCACACAAAAGAAGGTTGAACCTGGCCCAAGAAAGGGGAGTGGCCCAAATTTGTTTTATTTTACAATTGTGTTTAGGACCAAACCAGACCCCAAAGCTCAAGGAAGCTCTGAAGAACAATACATTGTCGGCATCAGAAATCTCACCCCGGGGTTAAGGTAGCCCAGCTCGCCAGTGCGGCCATCACGGTAGGTGATTTTCACGTGCTGGTGGGAGCGGGAGTGCACCATCATGTCCCAGGAATAGCCGTAGAGTCCATTTGTCCAGTTGTTATAGCCCTGAGATGGCAGGGCAGAGGAAATCAGTTCTTAGGCTAATCCCATCCTCTATCAACAAAGGGCTACATGACCAGCTATTCTTTCCCTGAGGCTATCACTCTGCACTCTCCACGCTAACCCCAGCCTACACATACCTGGGTGAGGAAGTGGGAATAGGGCAGGAAGAGCTGCTCCAGGAGATAGATGAGGGTGAAGGCAGTGCCTAGCTGATGGCGCAGCCCTGGCTTCTGACTGCCTTTGGCCCGGCTCCTCTTATACACGCAGGAAGCACTGGGCTGAGGGGCAGCCTTGAGGGGCAGCAGTTCTTGCAGCCTTTTGGGGCAGTGAGACACCAGCTTCCGAGGCCACTCAGGGGAGCAGAAGAGAGGGCTGCTGGCCAGCATGACATAGGGGAACATACCTAGAAAAGCAAGGAGAAAAGAAGCATTTCAGGAGTTCGGTTTGGGGAGATGTGGGTAATCCCCTTGACCCCTTTCCCTTAAGAAACCTCTCAAGTATCCCACTTCTGATAAAAGAAGTTCTTAAGTAAAAGATACTTACTTCCCAGAGATTCCTTACTACACAGCATACTAGCTAAGCCCAGAAGTCCCAATTCTCTCTTCCCAGCTTATTTCCACGCCACAGTGACTGCAGCAGGCTCAGTGTGGCTGCTACTCCCATCATCTCCCAGTCCCAAGCAACGCCTCTGGCAAGCCCCTCTGTGGTTTTCTGTTTCCTACCGGATGGCAGGTACTCACCAATGCTGAAAAGCTGGGAGTTCATGCAGTGGAAGTAGGACACGAAGAGGAGGCCCACGGATCTTGAGGCGTCGAAGAAGAGCAGGAAACCAGCCGAGAGGTCAAGGAGCAGTCCGCACCAGTGCACCACCAGCAGACTGGTCATCTCTTCGGACAATACGAGTCTGCGAGCACCGGGGACAGGGGTCAGGCACCCGCCCACTGGGAGCCTGGCTGACACGGCACACTCACAGCAAATGCACCCCTGCTACCCTGTCCCTGCCAAAGGAGCCTCTCCAGCGGGTGGGTAGGACTCTGCACAAAGACACCCCAGAGGTTTACCAACCACTGTGCATTTCCACGCACATTAGGTGTCCAGCTGTTTTCAACTGTCAGAAGCAAGGGCAAATTAGGGCCAATCTGATGGAGAAGTGTGGGTGCTGTGGAAGGGAGGCTCCGCATAGAGGTTACAAATTAGAAAAAATTTTAAAAGGTGAATGCTAGCCCTAGCCAGTTTTGCTCGGTGGTTAGAGCGTCGGCCTGTGAACTGAAAGGTCCCAGGTTCAATTCCGGTCAACGGCACGTGACCGGGGTGTGAGCTCAATCCCCAGTGGGGGACTTGCAGGAGGCAGCCGATCCATGATTCTCTCTCATCATGGATGTTTCTATCTCTCTCTCCTTCTTCCTTCCTCTCTGAAATATATATATATTTGTGTGTGTGTGTGTGTGTGTGTGTATATATATGTATGTATGTATTTTTTTTTTAAGGTGAATGCTTGACCAATATGATTCTGAAGTCAAACTACAGGAACTGAGAAATACCAGGGAAGAGAAAAAAGAACGAAGCAAAAAAAGAGAGAAGAAATGGGAGGAAGACAGAACTTCTGCCTTGAGGAAAGTTGGTAGCACTGGTTCTGTCAGGGCAGGGACACTGTCCATCTTCTCAGTGCACTAGCTGAGGGGTCCTGGAGAGGCAGGGGTAGCAACCAACTCATTCACCAAGTCACCTAGTTCTAGCTCTTTCCTCTCCTTTTTCTTTTTTTAATGTTTGTATTGATCTCAGAAAGAAAGGGAGAGGAAGAGAGAGAGAGAAACATCGATGGGATTGAATCATCAATAGGCTGCCTCCTGCACAATTCTTACTAGGGATCAAGCCCACAACCTGGGCATGTGCTCTGACCAGGAATTGAACCGGAGACTTCGTGGTGTATAGGTTGATACTCAACCACTGAGCCACATCTGCCGGCCGGGCTTTCCCCTTCCTTTTAAATTTATTTCCCTCCATTGCCACCCACAGCATAAGTTTCACAGGAGCAGCCTTCTGCTGAATGGGAAGATGAGTGGATAGAGGAAAGTATGTTGCAAATTCAGGCAAAGAAGGAACAGCAGCCATTACTGCAGACAGGACAGAGGTGAGTCACCCCCTCTATACCGGTGCTTCAGTGAGGCCTCTGCCCTGATGGCCACTCACTTGAAGGGACTGAAGAGCCAGTGCCGGGACAGGTTCTCCATGGAATAGCCTTCCACCCAGTCTGCATCCAGCTTTTTCACACCCGCAATGAAGTACACAATGAAAATCTGCAAACGCAAAATGCAAAACAAATGTTTAAAGATAAAGAGTACTGGAGACCATTATACTAAGTGAAATAAGCCAAGTCAGAGAAAGATAAATATCACATGATCTCAATCATTTGTGGAATATAATGAACAACATGCTAGTAAAGTGATGAACAAAAAACAGAACCAGAGATACAGAAGCATCGAACAGATTGTCCAACCTATGAGGGAAGAGGGTAAAGGGGTAAGAGATCAACCAAAGAACGTGTATGTATGCATATGAGCATAACCAATGGACACAGACAGTAGCAGGGTGAGGGCACGTGCTGGGGGGTGGCAGTGGCCAGGGAGAGGTCAATGGAGGGAAAAGGAGACTCATGTAATACTTCAAACAATAAACAAATTTAAATTTATAAAGAAAGAGAGAAAGTTCTCATTTCAGTTGAGGGACCAAGGAAGATTAGTTCCATTCTTCTATTCACTCATCTCAGATATTCACTCATCCAACAAGTATCTACTGACATCCTACCAATGCCAGGCACAGTATTAGGGACCAAGGAGAGTCATAAAGCATAGATATTATCCTCTCTCATGAGGATTGTAACCTGGCAGGGACAAAGCCCTATTTCCTTCCATGACAAGGTGAGATAGCCCAGAGATTACGGTTTTGGAAACAACAGAAAAGCCAGCCTAGCCTTCCAGTAAAAGGGAAGAAAGAGAAGATCTAGGGAGGCAGAGTAGAGTGCAATCTGCCGTGGGATCGCCACGCTGACAATGGCTGTCGAAGGACACCTCCCTCTTTCCTAAGACCTTGTACCTGGCCACGCAGCACAGCGTAGTTCCAGAGAGGCACGTGGGCATTCCGCTTCCGGGTATTCAGCAGACCATCCACAGACCTACACCAAGTAAGGTAAGGATTGAGGAGAGCTGAGTCCAGCCACATTTCTACCTTCCTTTTAAATGTGATAATCTATAACAGGACAATTCCCATACCCTCTCTGGTCCTCTGGACTATTTTGACGCCCTTTAGAATTATATGAGAAAACTGGAACAGTGATTATTTTAACTCATAACAGAAATTTAACTAGTGAGTTATAACAGTAAAAAGTTCAGTGTTTATCGTTAGTTACTTAGCAAATTAGTTAGTCCTAATGGGAAAAGTCAGTAAAAAGACTACAATGCTAGAATATGACTGAATTTAGCAAAGAATTCGTTTAAGGAAGTGTTTAAAAAGTTTGAGGTTTATATAAATAGATTAAAAATTTTTTCAATATCCAAGACAAACTGACACCTGTAGATCTGGATGCCAGGATCTAGTGCCAGAGGGTCCCCACTAACAGCCTACCTTGGGTGAGAACGGATAAACGCAGGCTCTAAGACTAGATGTGCTCTGGGGAAGCAGAAGCAAAGCAGCTTTTCAAGAAGACAATGAATGAGCCGAGAAGCTGGGGAAGGGCAGCTTACACTGGTCAAGAGCACTGGAGTCTACAGCTAAGGAGACCTCGATTCTCACTTGTGCCTCTTGCTGCTGTGTGGCCTTAGGCAAATCTTTTACTTCCCTAAGCCTTCATGTCTTCATCTATAAAATGTGGAAAGCACTATGGACCTCATGGGGTTACACTGAGGAAAAATTAGTGTTGAGCATGGTATTTGGAAATCCATCAGTAAGTAAGTGGCATGTTTTTTTGTTTTTGTTTTTTGTTTTTTAATTTTTTAGCCGAAACCGGTTTGGCTCAGTGGATAGAGAGACAGCCTGCGGACTGAAGGGTCCCGGGTTCGATTCCGGTCAAGGGCATGTACCCTGGTTGTGGGCACATCCCCAGTAGGGCGTGTGCAAGAGGCAGCTGATCGATGATTCTCTCTCTTCGACGTTTCTAACTCTCTATCCCTCTCTCTTCCTCTCTGTAAAAAATGAATAAAATATATTTTTTTAAATTTTTTTCAGGAGTATTATGCCAAAACTGTTTCTTAATGAACAGAGCTGGCCATCCTGAATGAGTAATGGTTTACAAAAGGAGTATTTGTGTGTGTGTATTAACAAATGAAACTTCATGACTGATAAATCACTGATTCAATGCTTGAGATTTTTTTACTTATACTTATCTTACTGAGATCTCATATTTGCTTATCACTTAATAACGGGAAAGATCCTCAAAGGTCGTCTGCCCTGCCACCTGGTTTGCAGATCCCTTCTCCACCTCCCCTGAACGATGGCCACCTAATCCGGAGGTGGAGGAGGTTACCTCCTCTCAGGACAGGGCTGATGAGCAGCCCTGGGGGCCTCTCCTTCTGACACGACTCTGCCTCACAGCAACTTCTGCTCTGAGCTCTATCTCTGCACCTCTGGGCTCACTCAGGGAAAGTCTGCTCCCTCTTCCACATGACCACCCTTGCAGTATCTGAAAACAGCTATGTCTGGCTTTAGTCTTCTCTTCTTCTCTCTAAGAAGATTACAGGAAGTGCACAGATCAAGGCACCTAGGGAGATACGGAAAGAGTGAAGGGGTGGGAATGGAGCCATTTTGCTTTTTGTCATCCCAAGTGCCACAACTGACTCTTTCCCCTCCCAAATCCACCCAAATTAAAGTGTGACCTCTTATCTCTGGTAAACATCCTAACCCAGCCGACCCCTCCCCTCTTTTTCCCTAGATTCATACCAGTAGCGGTTTGCATCCATGAATGTCAGCTGAAAAGCTAACAAACCATACAGATAGGAGTGGTTGTTCCATGACGTCTTGTCCAGGAGAAACACATACCAGTACGGCAGCAGGAATAACACACAGCTCATCCGGTAGCACAGGCCCAGCATCATGCCCAGTGCCCCTGGGATTTGTGGGGGGGGGGGGGGAGAGAAATAAGAGGTCAAAGGTCACCACCAGCCCAGCTCCCCTGGGACAGGCTGTGGGTGGGATTAAGAAAAGTCATCAGCCGAAACCGGTTTGGCTCAGTGGTAGAGCGTCCGTCTGCGGACTGAAAGGTCCCGGGTTCGATTCTGGTCAAGGGCATGTACATTGGTTGCGGGCACATCCCCAGTAGGGGGTGTGCAGGAGGCAGCTGGTCGATGTTTCTCTCTCATCCACGTTTCTAGCTCTCTATCCCTCTCTCCTCCTCTCTGTAAAAAATCAATAAAATATAATAAATAAAAAAAGAAAGAAAGAAAAGTCATCAGACATTTTATAATCAGGTACAACTAAATCAAAATTAAATGTTATGTTAATATTTTTAGAAAGAGCTTTGGGGTCACAGCTCAGATGACACACAGGTCAGGAAGATGAAATTATGAGTCACAAGGGAAGTGAATAAGGAACCCAAGACCATTTGTATTTCTCTGTTTGAGATAGGCCAATCAATATTCCCTGTCCCCCTCACCCAGAAACATGACGGTGTAGACAAGATACATCCAGTCAAGCGGCAGCGGCTGCAGGACATCCAGCAAGGGGAAGCGGCACACATCCAGCCCATCCAGGTACCGTCGGTCCAGGGAGCTGAGCCCCCGCTCCTGGGGGATATCGAGCACCATCAACAGCCCTGAGAGGCAGTTAGACAGGGCCATGAGGCCTCAGCAAAGGGAGCAGTAGAATATGTTTGAGTACAGTTGACTGAATCTATCTCCAAGGTCAGACTTCTTTCCTAACCAGGCTTCACCATTTATTCATTCATCCAACAAGCATTACTGAGTACCTCCTCTGATAGGCACTATGCCAGTTGTGTGATCAGCTACTATACCTCACTATGCCAATTCCCCATTTGGAAAAGGGGTCTCATAATAGTTTACAGGGTTACAGAGAGGATTAAGTGAGAGAAACATACAAAAGGCTCTAAAAGCTGTTCAGGTTTTGATAGTTAATATTTGCAAAGATCTGTCACACTGGGCTACAGAAAGTGCTCAAGGATGGGGTTTGCTTCTCAACCTTTCCCACCTCCTGGTACACCCAGAAAACAGCAGTATTTGGCCAACACATTGGGGTAAACAGAAGGGGCCACTCAGGTCAGGAAGCAGCTCCAGCGCAGGCAGTGTTTCGCAACCTCAGGACCATTGACATTTGGGGCTGGTTAATTATTTGCTGGGAGGGACTAGCCTGTGCATCAATAAGCAGCATCTCTGGCTCCTATGTAGATGCCAGTAGCCACCTATCCCCGCCCCCCACATAAGACAAAAATGTCCCGGGACATTGCCAAGTGTCTCCACTCCCCTACCCCCTGCCAACAAAAAAGCCTGAGGTTGAGAACCACTGAGCTATCAGGATTAATATCTCAGCATATCATAATCCATGCCAAGTGGGAGCTCTGGGTTAGGGAGTTACAACCAACATGTCTGCTATTTCTCTAAAGTCTAGTCCCTAATGTAATTACTGAACACCTTCATGACATAAGGAAAGCGAATCCCTGTTCCTCTGCCTCTATATTTCCTATAGCCTCAGATCAAAGCATTTCTGGCCTCCAAATGCTAATCAGAGGAGACAAAGCTGGGTCTGATCCTAAACTCCACAAATAACCTCTTCCAGGACACTGATGTCTCCCGCTGTGAGAAACGGGGAGGAAAGTCCGCTACGTAAGTAACCAAGAAATAGACAAGGTTGGGAGGCAGTGATACTCCCAAAGTTCATAAGCCCCTGATGCAAGCAATCAGGTATATAAGAGGCCTCTCTATGGGACAAGGGAAAAGCAAAGGCTAAGGATCGGAGCAGACTCTAATCCCAGTTTCCGAGTTCTGAAAGCAGGCACTTGACGGTGTCCATCTCCAATCACCTTCACATTGTCACTCTCCCGCCCCAATCACACTGGCCCCTCCCAGAAATCGAACTTACCAAAGAGAAATCGGAAGACAGCCAGGCTTGCAGGATCCATTGGCCGATTTAGCAGGGCCACCAGCCTCCCCCAGCTGGATACATCTGTCCACTCAAAGCCCAAGAGTTTCCCCATGCGGCTGGCCTGACCAGGGCCCGGGGTATGTGCAGTCTTGTCTTTCCGAACTTTATCTGTAACCAACAAACGGAGAAAGGTGTGTGCACGTATGGGGTGGAGGTGCTTTAAAATCCTTCACAAATCATCAGCCGCAACAATCCGAGGGCTTCTGCCTCCCTCATCTCTACCTTCTGTCCCGCTGACCTCCACCAGGAACACCCTGCAGGGCAGCCCCTCCTCCAGGGCGCGCCAAGGCCCCACACCTCCTCAGACTACAGCACCCCCAAACTGCAGGCTGCAACCTGTCTGGAAGCCCCATCCCCAGGACTCACAGGGCAGCCCGTCCTCCGGTCCCCGCCACTCCCAGACCAGCGCCCCTCTCCCCCTCCGCCGCAGGGGGGGGGGGGGGGCTCTGAGCCTACCTGAGGCGGGCGCGGCCCGCGGGGACGGGGCAGACATCGCCATCGTCCTGCGAAGGTAAGGCACCCACAGCAGCCACCCGCGGGTGAGGGGCAGCTCCCCTAGGCCCCGCCTCCCCGACACGTCAGCGGGGGAGCAGCCGGCCGGAAAGCGCTGGGACTGTCGTGAAAGGCCGTAAGCCGGCGGGATCCTGGCTCCCTGCTTGGCGGCAGAAGGCAGGGGGAGGGGCCTGCGGGGCGGGGCGGGGCGGGGCGGGCCCGGAGGGGTGGGCGGGCCTCGCCTCACCTGATGGTGGAGGGAGGATGCGGGAGGACGCCTCTGAGCCCTCCCGCTGTCCTTAGGCCTCTCCAGGGGGTAGTGTCCCTGTAGTGCTCCCTGATGTGAACATGTCGTACTCTCCCCTTAATGGTTGACCGCTGAGTTGAGGACGCACCTGGCAGGGGCTGTCCAGCCCAGAGAAAGTATACCAGTTCCTTTATCCGCCGGTACCTGCCAAGAACCAGAGCGGTTTGGACGCAGCAGGGAAACTGGAACAGCATCACTGAAGAGGGGATGCGGAATAGGGGTAGTGAGTAGACTGTGGCCCATCCGGGAAGATTTTTTTTTCCTTTTGTAATCCTCACCAGAGGATGTTTCCCATTGATTTTTAGAGAGAGAGGGAAAGACAGAGAGGAATGTCAATGTGAGAGACATCAATTGGCTGCCTCCAGCACCTGCCTGGACCAGGGCCCAAGCCAGGGAGGAGTCCTTGATGGGAATCAAACCCAGAACCCTTCAGTCCGCAGGCGAATGCTGTATGCACTGAGGCAAACCGGCTAGGGCGTCAGGGAGGTTTTTAGAGAGACCAGTCAACACTGTAATATCTTAACTCTCTGTCCTGGGATTGGGCAGCAGGAGAAAGAGAAGGCATCCAAGGGCAGCAGTTCTCATATTTTTTGGTCTCAGGACCCCTCTGCACTGCGACATAGCATTGAGAACCTTAAAGAACTGTTATTAATGTGGGTTATATTTTTCCATACTGGGGAAAGTTTGAATTGATTCACTAGAAAAAGAATAAATCCATTAAATATTTTATAACTAGCATTTTTGTTAATAAAGGTACGTTATCACCAAAATTGCATGAAGAGTACTTCAGAATTCAGACTGGTGCAGCCATTATGAAAAACAATATGGAGTTTCCTCAAAAAATTAAAAATGGAACTCCCATTTGACCCATTGATCCCACTTCTAGGACAATATCCCAAGAAACCAGAAACACCAATCAGAAAGGATATGTGCACCCCTATGTTCATAGCAGCACAATTTACCATAGCTAAGATTTGGAAACAGCCTAAGTGCCCATCAACAGATGAGTGGATTAAAAAAAAACAGTGGTACATCTACACAATGGAATACTATGCTGCTGTTAAAAAAAAAAAAAAAAAAAAGGAAAAGAAAAAGAAAGAAAGAAAGAAAGAAAGAGAAAAGAACTCGCCCAGCTGGTTTGGCTCAGGGGAGAGAGTGTTGGCCTGCAGACAGAAGGGTCCCAGGTTCAGTTCCTATGAATGGCACATGCCTGGGTTGTAGGCTCAATCCCCAGTGGGGGGTGCGTGCAGAAGGCAGCTGATCAATGGTTCTCTCATTATTGATGTTTCTCTCTGGCTCCCTCTTCCTTCCTCTCTGAAATTAATTATATATATAGTTTTAAAAGAACTCTTATCATTTGCCACAGCATGTATGGATCTGGAGAATATTATGCTAAGCAAAATAAGCCAGTCAGAGAAAGATGTATCACATGATCTCACTGATATATGGAACAAAATAAATCAATAAACAAAAATAGATCCAGAGACATAGAAGCATGGAGTAGGCTGTTGAACCTCAGAGGGAAGGCAGGGAAGAGTGGGTGGGAAGAGATCAACCAAATATTTTGTATGCATAACCAGCAGACACAGACAATAGGGTGGTGAAGGCCTGGGGTGAGGGGCAGGAGTGGGCGAGAAGATGTCAATGGAGGAAAAGGGGGGATCTATGTGATACTTTTAACAATACATTTTTTAAAAGAATACTTCGTATTGTCTTATGTGTAAATCTCTACTGTGAGGGCTTAACTGAAGACAGCTAGATTTTCATATCTGCTTCTGCAGTACGTCTGTTGTGAAATGGTATTGGTTGATATAAGTATGGGAGGGAAATCTGGCTTCACAGATACTTAGCTGGACTAGGGAGAAGCATTTTTTTAAAAATATATTTTATTGATTTTTTTTACAGAAAGGAGAAGAGAGGGATAGAGAGCTAGAAACATCTATGAGAGAGAAACATCGACCAGCTGCCTCTTGCATACCCCCCAACCAGGGATGTGCCCACAACCAATGTACATGCCCTTGACCGGAATCGAACCTGGGACCTCTCAGTCTGCAGACTGACACTCTACCACTGAGCCAAACCGGCTTCGGTGAGAAGCATTTTTTTTAAATATTTGTTTTTATGGATTTCAGAGAGGAAAGGTGAAGGAGATAGAAACATCAATGATGAAAGTAAATCATTGATCGGCGGCCTCCATGCCTGCAAACCTGGGCATATATCCTAACTAGGAATTGAACCGTGACCTCCTGGTTCATGGGTTGATGTTCAACCATTGAGCCACACTGGCCAGGCAAAGAGAAAAGCATTTTAGTGGCTTTTTAGATAAATGTGGATATACTTCTTTGACACACTTGAATGTGGTTTTTAAAGATTACTCAGATGTGAAAATTGAAACCATATCAATGAACATTATGCGCTATAACATTAAAATCACTGGTATATCTTGCACTTTAAAAAATATATGTACTTTAATTGAGTAAGGGAGAGAGAAGCATTAATGATGAGAGAGAATCATTGATCAGCTGCCTCCTGTACTCCCCACACTGGGGATTGAGCCCCACAACCCGGACACGTGCCCCAATCGGAAATTGAACAATGGCCTCCTGGTTCATAGGTCGATGCTGAACCACTGAGCCACGTCGGCCGGACCTAATTTGCACTTTAAATGGACATTTTACTCAAGGATGATACTGTAAAATCATGCCTGAGTAAAACACTGGAAAACAGTCATTTGGCACGCACTGTTTCCTTGAGTTATGCAGCTTTTCCAAAGGCAGAGTCTCCTCAATGTTGGGAAGCTGCCCAGCTCACAGTGCCAGATACAAATTCTAATTTTCAGATAAGAATTTTAATTTTCACTCGAAAGTTCTCATTTTATCAAAGACAACAAATACTGTCTAGTGTCTTCCTTGAAGGAACAAGCTCACTCCTTTCATTTTTGGGAAAATAGCAGTCACGTGCAAGTTTGAATAACCGTAGTTTGTTTGATGCCCTTTCAATTAAATGGAGTCAAACATCTTTTTTTTTCTTTTCTTTTTTTATATATATTTTATTGCCAGGACTGGTTTGGCTCAATGGATAGAGTGTCGGCCTGCAGACTGAAAGGTCCCAGGTTCGATTCCAGTCAGGGGCATGTACCTCAGTTGCGGGTACATCTCCAGTAGGGGGTGTGCAGGAGGCAGCTAATCAATGTTTCTTTCTCATAGATGTTTCTAGCTCTCTATCCCTCTCCTTTCCTCTCTGTAAAAAATCAATAAAATATATTTTTAAAAAAACGTCAATGAGAGAGAAACATGCCCTTGACCGGAATCGAACCCGGGACCTTTCAGTCCACAGGCCGACGCTCTATCTACTGAGCCAAACTGGTCCCGGCTGAACATCTTGTTTTATTAAGGAACTGCAAGTGAAAACAACGATGGGAAATGTGCTAGAATGGTTGACATCCAAAACAGTGACAACAACAAGTGCTGGTGTGAAGCAACAGGAACTCTCCCTCACTTCTGGTGGGAATGCAAAATGATACGGCCACTTTGGAAGACAGTTTGACAGTCTCTTACAAAGCTAAGCATACTCTTCCCATATGACCCAGCAATCCTGCTTCTTGATATTTACCCAAATAAGTTGAAAATGCATGCTACACAAAACTTATGCCCTAACCAGTTTGGCTCAGTGGATAGTGCCTGCGGACTGAAGAGTCCCAGGTTCGATTCCAGTCAAGGGCATGTACCTTGGTTGTGGGCACATCACCAGTAGGAGGTTGCAGGAGGCAGCTGATTGATGTTTCTCTCCCATCGATGTTTCTAACTCTCTGTCCATCTCCCTTCTTCTCTGTAAAAAATCAATAAAATATATTTAAAAAAATAAAAACTTGCTGAAACCGGTTTGGCTCAGTGGATAGAGCATCGTCCTGCAGACTGAGGGGTTCAGGGTTTAATTCTGGTCAAGGGCATGTACATTGGTTATGGGCACATCCCCAGTGAGGGATGTGCAAAAGGCAGCTGGTCGATGTTTCTCTCTCATCGACATTTCTAGCGCTCTATCCCTTCCCCTTCCTCTCTGTAGAAAATCAATAAAATATATATTTTTAAATAAATAAATACTTGCATACAAATGTATAGCAGCATTATTCGTAATGGCCTAAACTAAGAAGCAACCAAGACATCCTTCAATAGAATTCTCATCATTTGCAGCAACCTGGATGGAATTGGAGAACATCATGCTGAGTGAAATAAGCCAGTCAATGAAAGAGAAACATCACATGACCTCACTCATTTATGGATAATAAAGAACATTATAAACTGACGAACCAAAAGATAGATATAGAGACAGTAAAGCAACAAGTAGACTGTCAAATTACAGCAGGTAGGGTAGGGAGATCTGGGGGAGATAATAGATCAACCGAAGAACTTGTATACATGCATATAAGTACAACCAATGGACACAAAACTCTGGGGAGGGAGGGTATGTATGGGGTGGCAATGTTAAAATATGTACCCAGATAATAATTTAATTTAAAAAAAAAGACATTCTTCAATAGATGAGCAGATAAACAAACTGTGACACGTTCATACAATGGAATGTTGAGCAATAAAATGAAATGAACTTGTTAGGAACATAAGTGACCCCATCTTAAAACTAATCTGTCATCTTGACACCTGAGTGGACCTGAACCCATGACTCTCTCCCCTTCCTCTGGGTGAGTTCTGAAATGCAGACCTCTGGGCTGATCACAGTATTCCCAATAATTCTCTCTCAGGGGGAGGAGCCCTGGATGTTTCTCTCCCTGGTGCCCAAGGCTCCC